TGTATTAAAGGATAATGAAATAGAAAAGTTTTGGGATCTCATGCATTATGTGTGCTCATGCATTTGGGGGGATACCCCTATTCCATCACGAGGGTACGGACACGTACATCCAATGGCAGGACAACGATCGTTATGCTTTACATAGCGCTGCTGTGACGGTTACTAGTTCTAACGGGTTCCGGCATAAGGGGCTCCCAAAGTATGCCCACTGGATAAGGAAAGTGGCCCAGCGGTGTGCGAACTAGTTGGTGAGCCCATACTCGCACGTATGGGCTGTGTGTAGAGTACATGGTACACATCCAAAATTACCCATTAGGACAACACTGTAGGGAAAACGAAACGAAATGAAACGAAAGATAGGTCCCATCATTTCATGCATGTGATTGTTGCATTTAAGCCCATAGTGGGGTCACTTACTGAGTATTTCTTTAAATATTCAAGCCATGTGCTACTACATTTTTCAGGTTAAGGCAAGGCATTCCTGTACGGCTGATGACGGCATCGCAACTCGAGACCATGGCACATGCATAGGGTAGTGGTATTTGTTTTCTTAGACTTAGGCTAGACTTGGTTGTTTTTAACTTAAACTTTTATTCATTTTATTTAGTCTTTTGTGGTGTCGTTTTAAAGATGTTTTCGAAACACATAATTCCATGGTTGTGTTTTAAGATAAATGTTATGTTTTATGAAATTTTAATGAAGTCTTCCGCATTCAATGTTTATGGTACGTATACAGTAGCGACCTTAAATTAAGTAGAAAATTTTGGGTCGTTACATGTTATGTTAATAAAGACGCGTACCTACGATATTTATGTTCGTCATGATATCATATGGACCTTTCCTTTTCTGAGGCGTTCGGTGACGTGTGATGCATTGTGACCGACCAAGTCAGGCATAAGGGATACGTATACAAAGAACACATGGTGGATCCATGTGTGCATACATGGGCCGTGTGTGGAGAAGTATCAAACATCCAACCCTGCCCTGAACTGGAAAGAGCCTAAGGTTATGTTATGGTTTTAAAAGATAGGTCTCACTCATATATTGTGTGTAATTACATTACTAACCTCAACAGTGGGATGACTTATTGAGTATTTTATAAAATATTCAAGCCACGTACTACCCTTATATTTTTCATGTAAAAAGCTCTCATACACAGTTGAGAGTGAACGCTGGAAAAGTCATGGAAGTTAGAATAGGACATAATAGAACAATAAATCGCATTGAATTTCAATTTAGTAATTGATAGGTGTTTTTAATGCTGTTTTTTTTGTATTAAAAACTATGTTATGTTTAATTTCGTGTTTTGAACTAAATATGTTAAGTCCATGACTTTATTTTAAAGGTATTTAATATGGATTTCCGAATATGTGATTTAAGCATGCATGAGATGATGTCACTAATTAGGTTAAGATAATTAGGGGCATTACAATTTCTTACCTTAGGTTGATAAAATATGCATGTTTTTGTTCGTAGAGGAGCAATTTGGACCAAAATGTAATGTATGATAAGAAAAATTACCAAAATGCCCTTATAATGAGAATATGAGATGCATGCGGACTCTTATGCTTTTCATTGAGTTAGGAAGGGATTTTACATGATAGAACTCAAGTATGACAACTTGGTAGAGTACGATATGCATGATATAGATAATTACCAAAATAACCTTAGGTCGAGATTTTGAGATGGACCTTGTTTTATTTGCTTTTCGCTATATTGGAATGGAGGATGGGATATTATTAATGTTCTTATTGTTTTCTATTTTTCGACAGCAGCTATTAGTTTAAAATTGTTAGGTTTTGACAACTAAACCAGAAACATAAACCATTGAAGTTTGGAGGGATGATATTATTGAATACTAAACTTGGTTTTTTATATCCTTACAAATAAACTAACCACAAAATCTTGGAAACAAATCTGAAAAATATTTAAATTAGATCCCTCAAAATACTCTAACTATTTTGACTAAATCAAATTCTTCTAACAATCTCTCCCTTGAACTTACACTGGGACTGAGACACGACCCATACTCCTACGAGAGGCAGCAGTGGGGAATTTTCCACAATGGGAGAAAGCCTGACGGAGCAATGCCGCGTGGAGAGTGGCCAACTAAATCTGTGCCACTCCCTACAAAATTTCCGTCTAAAACTTTGGTGATCCATCCGACGTGTTTTGTCAAATGGTCAAACGGAGGTATTCTGAAATCGTGTGAATCTAAATAAGGAACAACTGAAAAAACCCAGGTTTTATCTAACACCCAGCACCCACATCACCGCCGCGAGGGAACAACATTGTCGTTGCCAGAACCGACCTCAAGAGAATTAGACGCAGCAAAGGTTCAACGCCTATGTAGAAAGAAGGCTCAGTTCGAAGGGATTCAGATCGTCGTTGATTAGGAAAGGCCAAGAAAGCAGCTCCTTAGGTAAGGGACACGCCTGTTGAAAATAAACGTTTTGTTTTTTTTGAAAAATGGGTCGAACATAATTGTCCTATGGCTAGGTGCTATGTAATTTGATTGCCGAGTGTAATCTGATTGCCGAGTGTAATCTGATTGCCGTGTGTGTAATTTGATCGTTGTGTGTGTAATCTGATCGCGCTATGCGTGTAATCTAATCGCGATGTGCGTAATCTGATCGCTTTGGGTAATTTGATCGCTGTGTGTAATTTTATGTAACCTGATTGTCGTATAATTTGATTGTGGTGTAATCTAATTGTGGTGTAATATGGTTAGGTTGTGTAGTCTGGTTAGGTTGTGTAGTCTGGATAGGTGTAGACTGAATTGTTGTGTAATCGGATTGTTGTGTAATTGTCGTATAATTTGATTGTGGTGTAATCTGGATAGGTGTAGTCGGATTGTTGTGTAGTCGGATTGTTGTGTAGTCGGATTGTTGTGTAGTCGGATTGTTGTGTAGTCGGATTGTTGTGTAGTCGGATTGTTGTGTAGTCGGATTGTTGTGTAATCGGATTGTTGTGTAATCGGATTGTTGTGTAGTCTGGTTAGGTTGTGTAGTCTAGATAGGTGTTTATTGTCGGCATATTGTGCTTGTAGGTAGGTTAAGGGGTTTGTGGTAATAGTTACACGCTGTGTGTTTCGAGTAACTAGCCACCAATGTTCACCTTTCAGGTACAGACTGTGTGTTTCGGGTAACCAACTAGAATAACCACTTTAAGGAGTAAAAATAGCATTGATGTTGTGGTGGCTGCGTGTTTTGGTTGATCGCCTTATGACGATTCATATGTTGACCCTTAGGGAGTTCCTTATTGAGTATTTTTATACTCATTCGGTTTAGATTAGGATGCCAAAGTCAGTTACTGGACAATTCAAGGATTTTTATGTTTTGTGGGGGAGACGTTTCCGCACTTTTGTTATTAATTTAAACTATATTGTGGACGCAAGACTTCCTTTTGTTTTAAATTTCCTACTTCGTTTTAAATTTCTTTAGGCGGCATTGTTTTTTTTTGCACTTGATTTCTAATAAATGATCGTTTTGCATGGTTTTCATCATTTTCCAAATAAATTACATTATTTTCGTAATGGCTCTGACCGCTACTTATATGATAAGTCGGGTCGTTACAATTTTGCCATAAAATTTTTTTTGATATTTAACAGCACCAAGTTTGGTGCTATGATACCATGTTAAGAATGAGAAACAAAAATAAGATCAGATACCATATTAAGAATGAGAAATAGAAATAAAATCAAAAGTGGAATTTTCATTAATGTTCATAATGTTTAAATAGGATACAACCTACCAACTAACTCCTAAAAAGAAAATATATTATTAATCAAATACCGATAAAATATACCAAATATACTACAAACCAAATAAAATAAAATATACTCCCAGCCAACTTAAAAAAAAACAAGGAAAAAAAAAAAATATTAACTATCACTGAATTCCATAATTAATTACGGTTATACCTAAAATATATTTTCCAAATATTTTCTAAATATTTTTATATCTTAATAATATAAAATATGCATTTAAAATTGGAACGAGATGGAAATTGATTGAATATACAATTTGATATTTTATTTAAATAAATATATATATTTAGCTAAACATGGTATTGAGTGAACTAAAAGCCTTCCATATATTAATATTGATGTGATAATTAGCTACACTACGACATTATGATACAGAACTTTAAGAAAAAAAGGTTGACATTAAAGTTTTCAAACCCTAAATTTAACAGGATTTAAATTGATGTAATTTAAATAGTTTTAGATGTGTTAAAATACGCCAAATATGTTAATTAATTTAATTATGCATGTGTTTTATGTTGAAAATAATTGAATGATTGTGTAAACTGTGTTATTTAGATTAAAATAACACTATAGGTTAAACATAATCCTGCATATTTTTTTTAATAGATTAATGAGGAGACTTGGTGACACATATAACACCCGAGTTTTAAAAGAGAAATTAAAAACTCAATTTTTTGTTTTAAATTCAAACTTCTCGAGATTTTATTAAGAGTCTTAGAGATCAAATTTGGAGATGAGATAGAAGAGAAAAATTTTAGAAGCTCAAAAAAAATATAAAATAAAATAGTGAAAAATTGAATATTTTAGTAAAGTCAAACTCGAAAGGGTAAAATGGTCATTTTGACTTATTACCTAATTAGGGGTATGAATTAGCCCTGACTAATAGAAAAAGAAAGAAAGAAAAGAAAAAGAGAGAGAAAAGAAGACAGCGTTTAGAGATTCCGAGTTCCTTCGTAAAAATTGCTCGGTGACCTTGAGAGAACCATTCTGGACTTTTGAGTTGCATAGATGAGAATAGTTTTTATAGCGGATTCAATATGACTACCGTTATTAAAGATGAAAGATGTTTGTATTTAATACACTAAATATAAAAATGAAAAATATATTTATTATATTTGATATATTAAATATTAAAATAATTTATATTAGATATAATAACGAAAATACATGAAATTCAATTTAATTAAAATTAATTACCTTAAAAAAAAAATTACTGCAATGACGTGAGCTTAACCAAAAATGCCCTAGACTGTCCCAAAATCTCATGGTTTTCTTAGTCTCTAAGCCCTCTGGCGACGTCGAGGGGGCCCGTCCCGATTTCTGCTCACAATTCCTCGGATCTCTGCCGCTTGCAATGGCCAACGGCGAAGACGATGACCACCAATTTGGCGTCCTTTTGTACTACAAATACGCCCAAATTCCCGACCTTGATGACCTTGTTTCCTTCTACAAATCCAATTGCATCTCCCTCGGCCTTGTCGGCCGTGTCCGCCTCGCTTCTCAGGGCGTCAACGTCACTGTCTGCGTCTTTTAACTTTCTAATTCCTTTTCCTTTTCTCTATTTGCTCATTTCGTTGCTCTGATTCGGTATTTTTAATTTTAACTTGTTTCTGTTTCCCAATTAGGTTTGTGGGAAGTTATGCTCGTTGAAGAGTCATATTGCTGTAATGAAATTGAATAGCTTGTTTGATGGAACTGATTTCAAACTTGCATCGTGTCACCAACCCATGAATGACGTTGTGGCGAGAGAATGTGGATTCACTTCTCTGTCAGTTCGAGTTGTCCAAGTAAATAAAATGTACCTTCCTTTTAATTTTTAGCATTTTTTTTTTTTTTTGCTGACAATTTTGAGCAACTTTATTGTCGAAACTTGCATATTTCACAGGAGTTGGTCACTCTTCGTTCAAATCCTGTAATGAAGTTACCTGAAATTACAGAAGCTGGAACCCATCTCTCTGCTGCTGAATTTCATTCTGTTCTTGGGAGTGCTGGTTAGATAATTCTCTTCTTCTGCTTTATTTGGTACTTTACTGTCTTATAACAACAGTGATAAGTTTATGCATTGCAGGGGCAGAGGTAATTGGATATAAAGTTCTTTTGATTAACCATCATCTGCTTTGCAGGGCTACTTTCAGATGAAAAGAAGCGGATACATAGTAAAGACGTTGTTCTTTTGGATGCAAGGAATTTATATGAGACTAGAGTTGGGAAGTTTAAAACACCAAACATTGAAACACTGGATCCAGAAATTAGGCAGTATAGTGATTTGTCATGTTGGATTGATGATAATTCTGAAAAGTTGCGAGGGAAACAAATTCTTATGTCAGTTAGCCATCTCGAACTTTAAGTTTCATATCATAATGCCTTTTTCTTATTGTTCATGACCTATCTCCAAAAGTTGTAGCACCTATTACAGTGGTTTAATCTGTTGATTTTTTTGGGTGATGGGTACTTTGGGAATTTGGTTTGATCCTTATATTCCTTTGTCTGCATAATTGGATGCGAATATGTGCGTGTTGTCGAGTCAAAACTGCTAGATTTTTATTTTCAAGGTCAGAATTACAATTTCCAGCTGTTTCTAATCAAATTTGGATATTGCTTGTGTCTGTGGATTCCAATTCCTAGGCGTCTTAGATTTGATTAGGTATCATAGTTTGTCCTTATACAACACATCTTCGTATTAGCCTTGTTTGTTAATGGTTGTGCATATAGATTAGAACTGTTAATGGCTTATATAGTAGCTCAAGTGGCAGGTTTCAGAATAGTACGTTATGGCCTAAGTTTCATCCTCTCCCTATCTAATAGGTATTGCACTGGCGGAATCAGGTGTGAGATGGCTTCAGCATATATTAAGTCAAAGGGATCTGAATTTCAGAATGTCTTTCAGGTGCAATCATATGATAATATTCTTGATTTATATTTTTCACATACATATTCATGGACATACTTTTCCCACTTTCCGGTGTACGGATATTAACTTATGAATGATAGGCTAATTTCTTTTTTTATTTAATCACTAAACATTTAACTCCTTTCACTAATCAATGATAAGTTTCGTTTCCTCAAAAATAAAAGAATAAAAAAAATAAATAAGATTTAAGCTCTGTCTTGGCATGTTCATGGTGTAAGCATTATGGTTGACGTTTTTTAAGCAAACATTACTTTGCTTTAGCTTATTTGCATCGGAGTGATTTATATATTGGTGATGGCGTGCTTTTCACTGCAGTTATATGGTGGAATACAACGTTATTTGGAACAATTTCCCAATGGTGGATTCTTTTCAGGAAAGAATTTTGTGTTTGATCACAGGTGAAATATCTGACGCCCTCAGCATCCTATAAGTTTAGACAATATTCAGAAGATGAAGACGTCCAATATGATATATATACATTCAAGTATTGACCAAACAATTTTATGAACATAATTTAGTTCATAAAGTAGATTTCTTGAAACTTTTGAAATCATCAAATATTCTAAGAGGAATTGGTGACTGCAGCATCATGGGAAACTGGAGAAATGAATGATGTTTTTATTTGAGCTGAAATATTCTTACTATTCTGTTCTTTGGTTATATCTTATAGGATATCAGTTGGGAGCTCAACGGAAGATATCATAGGAACCTGCCTTAATTGTGGAGATCCCTTTGATGATTATTCTTCTCGCTGTCGGTGTAAATATTGTCGAATGCTTGTTTTGGTGTGTGATAATTGCCAGGTCTGCTATAATAGTAATCTCTTTGCACTCAATCATATCTGGCTTGCTGTTCCATTATGTAGTGGTTTCTTAGCAACAGCATGAATTCAAAGATTCACTTTTAGTATCTCCTTAGTATCTTATTTCTGACTTGTGATTTGTGCAATCCTGCTTCAACCTGTTATCACGGCTCAGAAGAAGAACACCCTTTATGTTTGTGAGCTCTGCCGGAAGAATGGCAAGGATGGCGGGCCGATTTCACAATTCCAGAGCACAAAGTTGGAAGTAGTTTCACAGCAAAGTGATCACGAAATTGGTTCCCAGCAACTTCCTTGGAGTAATGGTAAGGTCTGTGTTAATTCTTAATATCATCACCTCGACTCCATCTCAAAAATACTTAGATCCCATGAAGTGTTTACCAACAAATCCTCTATGGGGTGTTCATGTTTTGTTTTCCATCAAATTATATTACTGATATTTAGCAATTTAAAGTCCAACTTTAAAAGAACTTGGTTGCCTGCTGTTCTGAGCCTAAGAGGTTGGAGGTCCAATCTGTGTTCTTCCTCTAATTTAGTTGTAACTGAAACTCTTATTTAGGTTTGTAGGTCACCAAGAAAATTGAGAGTCCTATGTTTGCATGGATTTAGACAGAATGCTTCAAGCTTTAAAGGAAGAACGGCATCATTGGCCAAGAAACTCAAAACCATGGTGGAGTTTGTGTATGTCGATGCACCTCATGAGTTATCGTTTATTTACCATCCCCGAGACCGGGAAACTTGTGTGACTTCTTCGGTACAACCAAATTGTCCTCCACCAGTAGAGCATTGCAAGAAGAAGTTTGCTTGGTTAATAGCAGAGGACATTACAGGTAAAGGGAGTGAAACAAAATGGGAAGTTGCAGATGCCGTATTTGATCCACTCCAGTACCAGAAACAAACTGATGGATTTGAAGAATCATTCGCGTATTTGAAGACTGTATTTTCTGAGAAAGGACCATTTGATGGGATCTTAGGGTTTTCACAAGGAGCAGCAATGACTGCTGCAGTTTGTTTGAGAAAAATGAGTGTAAAGGGTGCGGTAGACGTTCGATTTGCAGTGGTGTGTTCGGGGTTTCCTCTTCAAATACCGGAGTTGGAGCATGGAGTGATCAGCTGCCCCTCACTTCACATATTTGGTAGTGATCAGGGAAATGATAGGCAGATCGCGAACAAAATGAGCAGAGACCTTGCTTCTTGTTTTGATGCAGGTTGTTCTGTGATAATCGAACATGACTCTGGTCATATAATTCCTACTCGACCTCCCTACATTGATGAGATAAAAGCATTCCTTCAACGTTTTCTCTAATTGGATTCATGAGTGAGATCGAGTGATTACTTAACATTAGGTATTTGATTATACAAGGGATTGATTGATTACCTTCGATATCCATGGAAGGTTGGTTGATACACTCTTGAATTGCAATGCTACTTCTGCTTCATAGTTCAGTTCATTGTCAAGTTTCTAGTTTACGTATAATTTATTGACATCAAAAGAAAAAAGGATTTACAGAGCTTTCATTTTGAAATTTATGCATGTTTACTATATTTTCTTGAAATTACAATCTCTCAATGTCGTGCACTTGTTCCACCACGGAGATGAAAGTAATGATCTCTTGAGCTTTACATGGTGAAAGTAATGATCTCTTGAGCTTTACATGGGTCATGTGGGACCTAATAATTTTTTTTTTGTAAATCTATTTTCTTTTTTGGGTTGGGTTGGGTGCGTAGTATTTCTCTATACACCGTTTATGCATGCATGTGTGAATCTGTTAGGAGAGCTCGTATATATTCTTCTAGACTTGACTATGGACTAGTACATGCTCACACTATTGAAAACTAACAGAAAGAAAGGAGTATGTACCATATCTTGGAGAAGTATCCCATGCTCGTGCATATAACAAGCATCAAGTCTAGCATTTTAAAATCATAGTTGTAACGCTAAGTGCCGACGAGAATTAATTTTCTAATTTCTGAGTCCTACTCAGGATTACGAAGGAAGAACACAAAGAAAGAAAAGAGAAATGATTAGTGATAAGGAATCATCTAAGGGGAAGGTAAGATTTAGATTACTTTCATCAAATATGCAAGGCAAGAACACTTGTTTTATTCGAATCATTTAATAAATAATATAAGAAAAAATTTAACCTTGCATAAAACATTCTAAAAATTGTAATTTTCATACTTTACATAGTTAGCCACGGTAATCTTAAATAAATAAAAAAGTCTTAAATAAATAAAAAGTTTAAAGTCATTAATGAAATAAAAAAGTTTTAAAGTATATTATCCAAATATCCCAACTCTAAATTATTATCCACTCAAAATTTGTAAACTAAGAATAAATGAAATCCATCTCCCTTGAGTTCATAGTGCATATTTGAGATGTCTTGGTTTAAATCCGTTAGGATTTTAAGAGAGAAAAAGAGAGAAACTGCTATCCACTCCAAATGGCAGGGAGTCAAAATTTGGCCAAAGATCCTTAATACGAAATGCTCAATGATTTGGGGAGAACCAATCCAAGTGTTTGAATCACTCAAATCCATAAAAAAATTGAGGAAGAACAAGAGGAATGACTTTCGAGTTTTTGTTCTCGATTTTTCTCTAGATCCAAGAAATTTGAGGAACTAGGCTTTGAAATTTTAATGTTGTTTTTATAGGGGATTTTGTAGAACTTTGATGAAGAAACTCGGGAGAGGATAGGATTGGAAGTTAGAGTTTCGACGATCATCAAGAACAGTAAGTTATGTAGTTTAGACCAAATAGATTTTGACCTCTGTTCGACTGTTTTTCGCTCTGATTTCGATATTGACCTTATTATGGCTTGAATTAGAACCTTCGAGCCAAACCTCATAAAATTTGGAGCTCATAACATGCGGAAAAGTTAGTTCAAGAAGGCACACATCACCAATGTAATTAGCCATTTGAATTTTTCTCAAGTAATACTTGTAGGGATAGCTAAGATGTGTTAGTATTGAGTATATTTTACCTTAGGTGGTTAGAATATGCATGTTTAGGACCTCATAAGGGCATTTTAGATGAAAATGCTATGTATGTTATACATATTTACTGAAATGCCCCTAATATGAGAATTTAAGAGATATTGTAATGTGTGCTCTGGGTGATTGATAGATGTTATCTCCTCGTAATGCATGATATAGTATGTTTAGTTCCAGGTGATTAATTGCATGGCCTCCTTGTAGAGCGTGTTTATCTGCACAGAGTTAGGACTAATGTGTGAGTCAAGATGACTAGATGATGATCTAGGTCAGGACACCTCTAGTAGACTAAGCACCTTAAGATTGTGAGTGAGTGGCTGTCAGAGGGTCTTGACTCTATTGCTCCCAGACTAAGAAGACTCAAGGAATTAGAACAGAGTACCTTGAAGTCAAAAGTTTGCTTTAAACCACCTTGCTACCTTAGGAACCCAATAGACCTCCTTAGCACCTAGAGATGACCAATGAGTTAGAACATAATACCTTGGAGACAAAAGTTCTCGTTAAGCCACCTAGATGCATTAGGTGATTGATAGGAATATCTTCCTAAAAAGTATGCATGAACTATCCGAGTCAAGATTATTATGCTAGAGCTAGAGCGGTTTTGACCTAGATTAATACGTTTTCAGCACTCAAAGATTGGATTAGCCTCAAGGAGCTAGTCTCGAGTATCCTAAAAATATGAGATAAGATCTAATCTTGGAGATAGTCTCTTCATTCTTAAAGCGGAAGCCTTGAGAACCGATTTGATTTTATTAAGAATTAAAAAATAACATCTAATAGGAGAGCAAGAACTATTTCTCTATAGAAATTGTAGCTTCAAGCCTCCTTGATATATTCCAACTATGTAAAAGTTCTTTCACAAGATCTTATTGATGTATTCCAGTGTAGAAGTTTTTCTACTCGATCTTTCTTATTATGACTCAAATACAAAGTCAAAACTTGTGGGAGTCTCTTGAAAAAAAATTCTGTAGGGATTGAAGAACTAGAATTTTAAAGAGAATCGTAGAAAATGTAAAATGTATTTTGGCTCAAACCAAGGTCCTAAAGGAATTTTGGTAAAATCTTTTCTAAATAATATATTTAAATATTTAATACATTAAATATTAATTTGAACCCTTCAAATAAATTTATTTTATATTTTTTAAAATTAAATTTAATATTTAGTGTTACTATGAGCTAGTAAGAAATTTTTATGGACAGATGAACCCAATCATACAAATTTAGTTAATTAATTTCTATTCATTAACTATAGGTCACTGGACCGATGAACTCCAACAATACAAATTTAGTTAATTAATTTTTATTCATTAACTATAGGTCACTTTAACTATAGACCTATAGTTGCACTCTTATGCATGGTAGTGCACGATAGGACAAGTTGTGTTGAATGATATAATTATTACAAGTAAGTTGATTCTTCAAATGTTTTCATAATTACAGCTTGGTTAAAAGTTCGTTATTTCTATTGATCAAAAGTTTGTGGGTTATTGAGACTTTTCACCTTCGGGCCCTCTTCTCGAAGCTCCCCTTAACATAGTCCTCTCTACCCCAACATTCGTCTCGTCTGCCCCTGCCTCGAGCAACGACATTACAGCTCGTGGTATTTTGGTCTTTCTCTTATTCGACGAGCCGGAGGATCTACTTTCTCGAACACTTGACGTGCCTTCTATTAAAAGAAGTCACAAGTGGGATCAGGCCCAGTTGGGGTCCTATGGTCCATAATCTGACCTCATGGTATAAAGTCCGGTTATTAGGTATTCCAACCAAAGCTTATCCTAATTAGATACATAAATGAAACTGAAACATGCATGAAATTCAATTGGAATTAGGTTGTGCTTGTTGCTTACCACTTACATACCCATCAAGGCGAGGCGTGACTATGAGCCGAGATGCAAGGGAAAATTTGACTCTATCTAATAAAAAAAAAAATTGTTTATAGGACCTAATCAACCTATAGCTCTGGTACCAAACTTTAATGACCTGATTTTCGATACCTTGAATCATAGGTCGCCACGTATACTCAAGGGTAAAAAGGACGATAAATTTTTTCTTTTGTAAGACGGGAGACTCAAGAACTTTAAAATTTAAACATGCATTCAAAACCGACATAAAAGTAGTTTAAAGATAATATTCGCGGAGTCAAATTAAAATGGTTTACACAAGTTTTCAAGAAGTAGCTTTAAAATAATAGTCAAATGACAAGAAGAAAGAAGACTCGATCTAAAAGGCATCCCTTGCGGGATGCAGTTACTCAACTCCGCACGCTCTTGCCATCAACAATGGTCTACACTCCACCTGAAAAATAGAATCAACGGAATGAGTATGAAAATACTCATAGGCTCTTGTCAGACTTAATCCTATACATGGAATCCTAGGCTATGTGCTCGAAACTATCTCTAACAAAAATCTGTTGCGATCTCAAGAGAAGACCCTATTATTACTCGTTTATATGATTCTCCATACCTATCTACCTTATGAGCTCAAACAAGTGTATTCTCCCCTAGTGGTGTAAGGCAACATCTACCTGTTTTTAAGATCAGTAACTTCCTGACACAAGGCTCATTCCAGGTTGGAACAGTAACTACTTGTTCGCTTACCTTTAATGGGTTAGAACAGTAAACTATCTGCCACTACGCCCTTCCAGCCTAGGTTAGTAAACTACCTGTCTTACACCCTCGTCGGGTTCAGAACAATAAAACTATCTATCATAGGAACATTAACTTCTTGTTAATTTGCCTTTTCAAGCTAGAACAGTAAACTACCTGCCTCTACGCCCTTTTGGGAAGAGTCAATAAAAAAATCATGGCTCTCCCCTCTAGGCACCCCTGATTTGGTACTATAGTAGTAGACTCCCTAAAGCTACTTATATCCTCAATGGATGACAACTAAATCAAACATAACAAGTAGACCCTAACCTCTATCGGTTAGTTCACGAATAGGGGTTGTGCCCTACCTGTCCATACGAGGTACCTAGTCAACCCATAAAGACTATGGAAAGCATAACTCGGTACAAATACGTAATTAATAGGTGATAGTCTATGAAATTCACAATTCACATTCTGTATCACATAGCAATTGGTCCAACTCACAACTGGTCAATAGTGGGCTATTCAAACCCTAAATCAATGTATAATAAGAAATAAAGACATACAACATGCTCATCATGTTAATTAAGCAATGATAATCAACCTCAACATATTAGGAAGCATATAAATCCAATTATCTATTAGAGATTACATGTTCATGCATGTGGAAGCTATATCAATGGTAACTATAATCAAGAGGTAAAACTAGTGAAAATGTATAACAAGGAAGAGATTACATTGTTTAAGTATAACTCTCATGGAACTAGGTTTAACTAACTCCTAAGTATGGTACTAAATCATTTGCATTCATTCCAAATCAGCTCCAACAAGCATTCTTTAGAAACTTGCTCTATGTGGTTACTTGTGAATGTAGACTTCTCAAGCTT